TGTGTTCGCCTTCAATTGCTCCCCAAAGCAGCGGATTGGCCTGACGCACAGCCCCGGCCCGGCCCGGCCGGCACAGCTCAGTCCGCTTGGGGCTCCCCTTCGTGAGAGATCCCCTCTAGGGGGCGGCTGGCGCGGCGGGGCGTGGCGGGGCGTGGCGGGGCGCGGCGGGATGGGGCTAGTTAGTGAATTGTTGGGGGAAACAGCGGGGCGACTTTCTCGTGTTCCTCCCTTGCGGCCAGCCGGGGCGGGCACCGGGAGCCGAGGTTGGGGTTATAGGCAACCCAGGGCGCGGGCGCGCCACGCCGCGGCAGGAGGCCGCCCCGGATCACCTCCTCGACGACCACCTCCCCTGCTCCTCGCCGGCCTCCGCATTCCTCCGGTGCCACGGGGCCGGGCCGGAGGGAGTGGCCGAAGGACCGCTTTCCTGGCCGTCTGATATTCGAGCGCACCATCTCCGCTGCGCACACCGACCGGGGCCGGCCCTACACGGGCCTGGCTGGGAGGGAGAGGCCCTGGTTTGGATGCGTTCCAGCCCCCTCCCCCCTTTCCTTTACCCAAGTCAAGTTCTGGCGGTGGCCGTAGAGCACAGTCCCGCCCGGCCCCGCCCGCGCCCCGCGCGCCTGCCACCGGATACCCCCCTCTCTGCACGCCCCCTCGGCGTCTTCTGCTCTTCTAGCCACAAGGCGTGTTGCTGCTCGGCGCCAGCATGATAGTAGGACCTAAGATGGAGAACCGGCTTGGGGCCCTGATCCGCTACGCCACTGCGCGTTGCGACGTGTAACTCCCGTTCAAGAGAACTTACACCCAAAAGGAAAACTGTTTTAGAATCTAGAATGTCTGCTGATTTGCCGCATATAAAAATAATTGTCGAACAACAGTCTGGAAGTGGAGATATGGAAGCTCAAAGTTACGCCGCCGCTGTCGCGGAGGCGGCGCCTCTGAGCGCCACCGCCTGCTGGCAAGATCTTAGCCGTTCCGGAAGTCTTTTCTTCTTCTTTCCACTCCAAGTACGTTAAATATTGATGACAGAAGGAGTTTGACATAAAATATGCCCCCAATAGTGCAGCATTTTCATTATTTGAGAAATAAAAACAACGAGAATACGCCCAGGATCGAGAAGAAGAAAGAAAACACTGCCGGAACGGCTAAGATCTTGCCAGCAGGCGGTGGCGCTCAGAGGCGCCGCCTCCGCGACAGCGGCGGCGTAACTTTGAGCTTCCATATCTCCACTTCTAGACTGTTGTTCGACAATTATTTTTATATGCGGCAAATCAGCAGACATTCTAGATTCTAAAACAGTTTTCCTTTTGTGTGTAAGTTCTCTTGAACGGGAGTTACACGTCGCAACGCGCAGTGGCGTAGCGGATCGGGGCGCCAAGCCGGTTCTCCATCTTAGGTCCTACTATCATGGCGCCAGACAGCCGCCGTCCCCCAGAGTTAGGGCTTGTTGACGCCCTGCGCCCCCACGGCCCCCAACCCCCCTAGCGGTCGAGCACCACCCGGTGCAGCGACACACCTGCGGCCCGCTGGCCGCAGCTGGACGGGGTCATAGCCTGGCCAACGGGCTGCCGGGGCAAGCCGCAGCGCAGGCGTTCACGCCCGGCCAGCCTACCCG